GTCTACAAATAACCACTAGAGAAATGGTTACTCAGTCGTTACTCTCTTTCGCTCCCTGGCCCTTCTCCGCGTTCCGTTCCCTTCGTCGCACGTTCCTGCATCTCGCTTGCTCGTTCGTTCATCGCCCTCCATCTCCCTCTTGCCGCCGCTCTCATTCCGCGTCTGTACCATTCAGAGTGGACTACATTATTTCGTTGTAAGGCCCCGACCACACCGCATTATCCTAAACATCTAAATCCGGACAGCTGGAGCCCAGTCAGCGGCTCCCAACTAGTTTTGAAAACATTCCGTTTGTGCACCGATTATTTTTATATATATATCCTTCTAAAAGCTATTATTAGATTAATTATTAGATAGAAAGCTATTATTAGCTAATTATTAGATTGAATATTATTATTTATATGCCATTGATTGTTTGATATAAAAATACAGATAAATAAAAATAAAGTTTTCGTATGATCTTTTTATAATTTAGTAATAATGCATAAAAAATGAGAAGGTTGTGCTCTTTTATACATAATAATAAATTTTTATGAGGGGGCAATAAATGGTTTTTTTAAGATTCTTTATTGTGTGTTTTCCTGCAAACATTTAAAGAATAAGTCTAATTGAATTTATTATTTTATTTAATATATCTCTGCAAGCTTAATGTACTGTATTATTATGTAAAGTAATTTTATGTTAGGAAATAGAGACTAGCCGAAAATGTATTTCACGATTGTTTGCTTGAAACTGCCTCATTTCGAAAGTTTTATATTGTTACCTTAACATTGACGATGAGAACCACTTCCTAATGAATGCGCCAGAGGTGTCAGAGCAGCAACTGTCAAAACACGACCGGCAAGACAGCGACCGTGCCATCGAGTGCACGACGGAGATAAACGATAGCAGGGCGAGGGTAGACAAAGACAGAACGGACCTTTTCACGCCATATTGGATGTACCTCGGAAACGGTGCACGCCACCGAAGCCTATCGATAATCGCGATATCCATCCCATTATTCCATCGTACAAAATTCCTACGTTTGTTCGTCACGCGCGTACACAACGGGCTGTTCCGGGGTTTCTTATATAACGTTTTTCGATCTCCCTCCGATGTCGTTCCTTTGTCGAGTTGTTGTCGATATGATCGACTATAGTCAAGTAAATCAACATCTTTCCAAGAATCAGAACTTCACAACTGTTTCATTCAATGTTTTTTTATTTTTTTATTTTAATATTGTGTCTTTGTATAATGATTATTATGCAACAAAATAATTTTTTTTGAAAGGTATATTTAAACTCGACCACGATTGAGACAATTTATCATGTATACTGATTCTTTAATCAATTCGAAATTTTGATCTTTTCATAGCCAACATTCTTTTATGCGCGTTGTATGAATCTTATTAAATTAATAGCGATCTTTGCATAAAAAAAAAAGAACTCGCTCGCGTAAACGTGTTTTTTAAAAATTTTCTTTGAATTTTGCTCTTCAAGTTGCACGACTCATTTAATACATCTTATGACTGTAGTCATTTTAAAATCTTCTCGTGCAATGTTTGCAAAAGAGAGAAAAAAACTGATTTAACATATCGTAGAAATAACACACCGCCGCGACAGACACGAGTCCCGTAATATCTCTTAAAAGTCACCGAGTTGAAAGCCGCCTCGACGGAGTCGAGAGCGCAGCGTAAAAGTCCGCGTGTATCCGTTCCATTCCCCGCATCCCGACGGCTCCATCTTCGTGTCTGGAAATCTACCCAGCTGCCAAGCACCTTCGGCCAAGGGGAGAGATGAGGTCGACGTGTGACAGAAGAGGAGGAAAATGAGAGAGAAAGAGAGAGAGGTGGAGATGGAGTACTGACAGAGAATGAGAGAGAGAGAGAGAGGGAGAGAGAGGGAGAGAGAAAGAGAGAGGAAGTGGTTACATGTGGAGCAGGGTGGAGTCGACATCGAGAGTGAGCTTAGGCGTGCGCCCTGGGCATATCGGCTTTTCGGGAGAGTCTTGGTCGATGCTCCCTGGTTCCTGGTTAACCCGCGGGATCGGTTACAAGCCAACCCGGCCAGCCGATTGGTTCATTTTGTCAGCGACACCCGCCTACACCGTGTTATCGCGCAACTACTTTATCTGTCTGCCTCTCTCCCGTTATATCCGTTCTCTTTCTCTTTCTATCTATCTGTCTCCTCTCTCTCTCTTTCTGATCCCTCTCTCTTCTACCCGTCGGTAAAAGAGAGTCGGCGGTTTTATTCTGCGCATTCTGTCCCTATTTCTCTCATCGCACCGCATCGTCGATAATCTGTCCTTTCTTCATCGGGCTCTTTCTAACTCGCGTTTGTTTCGTGCCCGACTCGACTCTACTCGCTTTTGACCTTCGACGAAAAAAGATCGTCTGGACACGACTCTAAGATCGTTAACGGCCGATGACTCCGCAATTTTTTGACGTTCCGGCGTGGAAGCGTGTGACGTGCGAACCTGTGGGAAGGACGAATGATTTCAGCAACGATGTGGTCTCGTGCTCTTTCTCGCGCGGTATCGTTTTAATCGTAGAGCAACACGCGAACGTAATGAGAAATTGCTAATGAGAGGTTTTATAAATAAAATAATAATTATAATTTTTCGATATATATACAGGCACACACGCATAGTTTTCATCGTTAGAAATATATTACGTCTCGTACAACGATGTGGATTATACTTGCAGTTTGTCGTTATCATAGGATCGCGTGACCAGAGTTATAGAGTCGCACGGCGTAAATGTTAAGCCATTTTAATGCATCGATGCGTTTAACGCGTTCCATGGATTAAGCGCGAAATTTGCCACTTCGTTTAACAGTCAGGACGGGACAGGACGTATAATGGATGCGAGGATGCGAACAAAATACTCATATGATGGTCCGTTGTAATGTCATAATAATCTGTTAATATATTTTCGCGCGAACGTATGTACAGGCGCAAATAATAATAATAATATTAATAATAATAATAATAATAATAATATTAATAATAATAATGCTTCATTTGCGTTCTTCGTATATTTATATATGTATAATTCCGTATCGATAGTCGTCTGTAGGTAAATTACGTAAGTCTTTACCTATAGTACATGTATATATACTATATATATATATATATGTATATTTTTTGTATGTATAATATATACGTACTGTATAATATGTTCATATTTATAAGACGGATTATACAAGAATTTCGCTAGACGAGTCTATCTACAAAGACAAGGGCGAAAGCGTGGTGAGGGTCCTATCGTCTCGCGCTTAATAAGATCGATTGGCCATACCCAGCCTCGAAATTCACTTTTACACTCTTCTTATTCCCGGAGTGACGCAAGTCTTTCCCAAAGAGCCAGGCGATTAATGAAATATACAAAGTCGCTAGTTTCTACTTGATCTAACGGGGAGAGAATTGACGGAAAGAGGGGAGCGTAAAGTGGCTCATTGGTTTTGCATTTCGCGTTTAGCATTTTTTTTACAGGATAAATCGCGCTCTTCTCTCGTTTAGACCAGAGTTGTTCTTGTAGCTATATTTATACAAAGTATCAAACCTTTCCCACTTTTTATAATGAGAGATTACAATGATATAGTACAATATAACACATGTATAGTCATATTAATAACATGAATATAACTCTGACATATAAATAATTACGCTACAAATATAACTGAGGTCCGAAAACGATGTGTCACAAGATATTACAAATTTATATTTAAAAAAATGGCTCGCAAAAATTTAAAATTCGGATGAGAATAATAATCTTGGTATAAAATGTCAAAAAAAACAGGGATGGAATGTATTGTTTTTATGAATGGAATTTCTAAATCGTAAAAAAAGCTGCAATTTTTTATGAAAAAGAAAAAGGATACACGTAATTATATCTAACAATGTGTTTTTAAAAAAATCTGCAATTCTTTTTACTAAGATATCTGATGTTAAGTGACTTTTAGTACAAGAAAAAAGAAAGTTATTAAGAAGAGGATATAATTAAAGGAGCTAAATTTATTGTGTAGACAATCTCAATAATCCAGACAGTAACGCATAAGATATTGTGCGTTTCTGTTTATTTTAAAAATAAAAAAATAAAAATGAACAAAAAAAGAGCTGCTCTCCAGTCAGTATTAATTGAATGTTTCGCCGCGACTATACGATATTTCCCGATTTTTCAATATTGATATCATAGCGTCTGTGGCTAGATCTATCTCTCATATCTGCCGTGCATCCTATGTCAGCCTAAGAATCTGAGACCATTACCGTAGCGATTTCAACTTCGAGTTTTCTCGCGCTCTCGTTTTGACGCCTAGTAGATCGGCTTGTCACTACGGTATTTCGATGTCGGCAAAATATAGGATTTCCACGCAAGAAGTAAATGCTTTCGGAATGAGAAAGAAAGAGTGATTTCTATAGAAGAAAGATCATATAGTTCCACTAAACAAAAAATTTACTGCTCCCGAAATGTGTTAAAAGCTTTGTAAAATTTTGAAAAAAATTGTTTAACTAAGATTCATTTGTTTGAAACAATTTTTAGACGCATTTTCTCATTGTTCGAAATGGCAGAGACATTTTTAAAATGACCACATCTTATATCTATATCGAGATATGTGGCTTATTGTCTCTAGCAATAATCTCTTTTCAAAAACGGATAATTGTATTCTCATAAAAAATATTTGTGCATGTTCACGGAGAGTATATTATTATGTTAATATAAATACAATATATTATTAAATTATATAATAAATAAATGTATATATTATAATAAACATAATAATAAAATACGTTTCCAAAAACTTTTGCTTCTTTTGTGAATATCCTTAATGAATAGATTTCGGAAACTATTCACGATAGAGAGAATATCAACTAGAAAGCGGCGCTATTTAAAAACTATGAGACTCACTGCATCTGGTTCTTGGGCTTCGACGAACGGACATGTCGGGAACATCTAACGGAAGTTATGTACACACCCTGACCGATTGACTTTTTTCTTTAATCCGAGAGATTGCACTTATTTAGTGGATTCGCACTCACTTCTCGAAGCGTCTATTCTGTCCTCGCGTTTTATAAGAGCGTTATCGGAAATTATTTCCTCCAATGAATTCTATTGCCACGCATCATCAAATAGATTCTCCCTAAGAGATTTACAGCGTAATAGTTTTTCGACATTTTCGAACAAAACTCGACAATGTATCTACGTATTGATATCATTGATTCATCTTCGCATACGTGTGGATCGTTCCTAAGCTCCTTCGATCCGCTTTCCGATGATGATGCTAATTGATGTTGTCGCGGGTGAAAGCCATCTTGCATATCGAGTCACATCTTACAGCTATCTTTGAGTAATCTCTGTGCGATAACTTTAAATATATTTATCCATTTTACTCCGTTCGTCACGTACAGTCTTCGCAAAACTATGAACTGTTCTCCAGAAAGTCGTATCGCATCGCGTTTACACTTAACAATTTTTTCGACACAATCAAACCTTTTCCATATCTCGCGATTTGTCGCGACTCGTGAAAAGCTTTTCCAAAGTCAGATTATCACTCGATCGATTAGCTTTCCCATCTTCACAACACCTCAAAGCGCTCGCTCGCGACGTTACCACATCGATAGCTCTTTCTCGGTGTCAGACGATCGTCTGTGCCGATGGCATCTTCCAATTCGTCGTCCTTATCGTATCACGCGGGCGAGAATGGTCTGTGAATTATCGGTCGCGGATTCGGCAGCGGCGGCGTGGCAACCCTTATCAGCCCCTGACCTTGGGACTGACCCTGAGGCGTCGGCTGACGGGGGGGCGGACTGCCTCGAGAGGAGGGGGTGTGCGGACTGGGTACAGCCACCCTCAACGGACCGGTGACAGATAGATTCGCCGCCATCAAAGGCGGGCTGTGGGCCTCCGATAAACTGTCCGATAGGCGAGATAATCCGCCGTCGGATAATCGCGACGTTTCGGATATCCTGGATATCCCTTCGGATAGCTGGTGCTGGGGATGCGGATGGTGCAACAGTCCTTCGTGCGGATGGAGTCTTGGCGGTGGTAGCCCTAGTGAATCTGGCAATCTGTAATAGAACAGAGAAAGAACTGCATTTTCTCTGGAGAAAATACAGTTTAGCAGAATCGCGATCTATTATATGCGACATCTTATTGTAATAAGAAATATGTGTATATATGTATGTATATATATACACACTCACAATATCTCGATATATGTATATTTATGTATAAATAATTTAAACCGATTAACACATTTTATTATTTATGATAAAAATAGCGAAGAAATTACATTTTATTATTTATGATAAAAATGGCGAAGAAAATATAAATAACAAAATATATCGAGAAGGAGAAATTTCGTAACGAAAGAGTCAGTTACTAAAACTTACCTTGATGTTGGATCACCCCTGGGCCCTACCGCTTGAAAAGGGCTGGACTCCGCGAACCTAAAAATCCCTCCACCCGGCATATTCGGATGATTAGGCTGCGGGCTGTGCGGTCCGAAACGGAAGTTCGTTTGCGGGAATTTAAAAGCCGTCGTATGGCTAAATCGGAAATGCGGCTGCGTAGGATCGAAACGGAAATTCAAGGAAGGAGGTGGCAGAGGTCCGAGGGATCCGAGGGGGACCGGGGACGGTTGGTGATTTGGTGGCGGCGAGGAACTCGGCGATGGCGGTGAAGTTCCTCCGAGGGAAATGTCGGAGTCCTCGCTGCTGCTGCCACCGGGCCCCGGACTCAGAGTTCGTCGCGCATTTCCGTTTCCTTGGCCTGATTGTTGCTGCATTCTGCTGCAAATAATCCATAATTTGCGATTATCAACTGATATTATCGGTATATTGAAAAAAGATTTAAAAATCCTGAGAGAGAGATGCTTGTCGTGAATAAGATTATCTGATATCTCTTATGTTAGCGAATGAAAAAAGTAATAGAGAAAAATATAGCTAACAACATGGGAACCAACTTAGAAAGAAAAGTAGTAGTAATAGTAGTAGTGATAATTTATTTGTTCATAGCTTAAAAGATCTTCGAGACCGTATATAGAAAATTAGCAGTATAAGATTTAAATCAGATAAGAAGATAATAAGAAAACAGAAAGTTAAGACTACAAATATAAATATACAAGTATAAATATAAAGACTACAAATATAAATATTAAAATATTTTTATTTTAAAATTCTCTCTCTCTCTTTATGTTCATCATATGACGAACATAACATTCTGTCGCCTTGTTACGAAGGAGGTTCTTGACTAGAAAAAAAAAAAGAAGGAAAAAGAATTTGTTATCTATTTGAACTTTAGACTGCTTAGTTTTTCGGTGCGAAAAGACGTGTACATAAATGTGTGGTCGCGGTGGGAATTTTAATTCGTTCCCGCTTAGAGAGGGAGCTCATTGTAGGAGTGAATATGCATACGTAATATATACGTAGATGTGTGCACGCGGTGCTGAAAACACTTTGTTTCTCCAGTCATCGCCGCGGAGAGCGCGGTCGTAATTAATGAGCGCGTTCATCCTTCCCAGGTGAGGAGGCCGAGGATTCACGGGAGAGTAACGACGATTCCCGACGACGGTTCTCGCATAAAGGAGGGATCCACCTCATTACTCGGCAGATCACGGATAGATACGGAAAAACACGGTAAACTTCACACGCGCGCCGCGTGTACGCGCAAAAATGACGAATGACCGTGCGTAACGTAACCGTGTGTTCGTCGACGGGAAGTTACATATTATGCCAATATTCGCGGTATTACACTACACGTTAAGAAGCATCCTTTAAAGGCATCCTGTCAGGAGCAATTAAAGAATTCAGATTGCTCCGATATCGAATTGACAAGGCGACAGAATGTTATCGCAAAAGATTTTTTGAAATTAACTCGTTATAGGACGAAAGAAGCTCGCGATCACAGGATCTTGGGAATCGACCTTATCAAACCGTTATCGGCCGATCGAACTCTGTGATAAGAAGACGGATGTTAAAATCGTGCGTGACGAACGGCCGGGAAATATTGTCAAGGACGTCCGTTATTTTGGGAGCGAACGCGATCGTGTTTATTGTCTATTGTGATTCGCGAGAGAGGAGGGAAAGAAGAACCGTTTGGGGATTCATGAGGATAAAGAGCGCGCGCGAGAGAGAATCATTCGCCATTCTGCTAAAGACAATGAGACGTCGCGGTCGTCTTAAAAGCCTCTCGGCCGCAGATCGATCCTAGTAGCGGGGCTTCCGAGATCCTCTCGTATTTTCTTTGCTAATCGAGTCTCGAGTCGGGCCCGTACTGTTACCACGGTAACGCCTCCTCGAGAGGCGGAAACGTCGAATTGTTCGTTCTCTCTCTCGTGATCGGGGAAAAAACCCGATTGCGACGAATGGTAAGTTCGAAGCGAACCACTCACCTTCCTCTCCGAGAACGCGCTCGAGATGCAGATCGATCTCGTCCGCGATATATGTATATGTCGGCAGTTTTTAACTCTTTTTACCTAGAGGCAGGTAATAACATTATAACAATATTCCTACTATCGTAAGTTAAATTTTTTCTTACGATGTTTGATTAAAATTTATGCTTATATATATACATATATTGTGTAAAAAATAAATTTCTCTTAAGTAGACGACATTTTTCGCGAACCTTATCGCTCTCGAAATACGCCTCCGCTCAAAGTTATTTAATTAACACCATGAGAATGTATCTTACATTTTATGATTCTACGTGAATATTCATGTAAGCTTCCTTTTCATTGCGCCTGATGGCACACCCGGATAGATTAATACGACACGTCAGCGCGCGGAAACCGGTGAATCCTTCCGACGATGGCGTTAAAATAATCTCCAATCGTACGTAGCACAGAACGTAGGCATATGTATGCTGAAGAGCTAAAAAGGTACGCGATGTGTGTTAATCAGATGAAATAGCGTCATACTCTTGCCAACGCAATCGGGACTTGATCGTCGTCGCTGAATTATACTCGTGAATAATGAAATAACCGACCGTGAATACGCGCCGTTCGATTTTGATTTTGCGCGAGTATAATCATGATACAAAAGACGAGAGTGGTTGTTAACGCGTAATTCAAGAACTCGGCTTTCATATGGAAATCCAATTTCGTTTCGTTACTTATTTAATTTTCTTTTATTACTTATACTTATAATTTTCAATTAATTTATCTCTCGCTTATTATTTAATAACTGTTCCTGTATTACATATGTGTTGTGTACGAGTTTTTTTCTAGTTGTCCCGTTTTTTGTTTTTTTTTTATTTTATTTTTATGCCGGTCTAAACTTATGGTTTATATAATACGTCATATTTTTCTAAAACGCACTTTTAAATTTTTTCGGTCTCTTGCTATTTCATTGACAGGGTGATCCGAGTTTCGCATTTCTCGCTTCCTTTTTTTACTCTTTCACCTACGCCTTCGCCTTTCTCTTCGTCGCTCATGTTTTCACCTCCATATGCGAGACATTCGACGCGTTTTAATTATGCTCCCGGACCGTTGGCCTTTATCTTCGTCCTTTCACAAGATACCCGCACGAGGCGGTACGACTTATTATGTGCCAGGGGCCCCATCCCACACGATATTCCACAGCGATCGTCCCCATTGAGATCGTCTTAATGTCGTGGCATTAAAGCGCGGAGACACGGGTGTCAATTTTTCGGCATGCATAAAAGGAGCATTAAAGCTTTACGATGCGAATTATGTTACACCGTGGTCTGCGCTAATTGCGTTCTGATGAGTGACAAATTGAAAGATTTTCGATACTTGTAGCAACAGCAACATTGTCCATATTCTTGCTGCACGTTTTTTATTTTATTGATTTTTTTATATCAAATCAATATCAATTAAGCTACCTAAAATGATATCTTGAGTAACAAAAAGAAAAAAAACTAAATAAATTAAAATATTAAATTTTTTATAGTAGCTTGATGAGATGCAAACTTAAAGATGATATTTTTGCAAATCTGAAATTCGAAATATTTTTTCATTGTAACTCGGAATATGTTTGACATTTAGCTGGTATTTGACTCCCACTCTTCAGTGTAATAATTCATAATAATTGATTAGTTAGATATTTTGCACTTAATCATCTCTTAATCTGGCCATATCATCAGCTCATTAAATCAGCATATTCGTAATTTTTATTTAACAGAAATCACTTATGAATTTATGTATGTGTGTTTGTAATATATTTTAAATATTTCTACTATTAAAATATACAAAATATATAAGAGCGGATTAAGAGCAAATCTTGGGTGGGAAGGCAGTTATAGAATAATTTACGATCGAATTATGTGCACTGGTTTTCTATTCTCGGCATTAAATTTGCCGCCCATCAATGTTCGGAAAAAGATTAATGAAGCATGTGCGGTTATAATTAGTATTCCAACCAGTAAACAAACTTTTTGTACACTGTCTTAGCTTTGATAATCTCGTTCACGAGATAATATAGGAGCTAATACGGCTTTGATGAATCAGAGAGAGAGAGAAAATGTGTTTGTTTATATCGTTGCATAGATAAGTTTGAAGAAAGATAATTTGATGATCGCATTTTGTCCCCTCATATTTATTGTAAATTTATCATCTTGTATTTATTAAATTATAAAATATTTAAAAAATGGCTAAATTCTCTCTCTCTCTCTCTCTCTCTCTCTCTCTCTCT